ATCATTATGTAGTGTCCTTCTTTGTCTCTTTTTATGGCCTTTCCATTAATTATTAAATAACAAAAATAATTATTTTATGATGTACAGATACTAACTTTTGTGGAAGAAGTGATGGAAGTCAGGATACATATTTGTATTTGAGTGTATTTGCATAAAGGAACACTGAATGGGTTCATATAGCAGATGTTATCTGTGTATAGGGTCTGCAGGGTGCAGTAGGAAAGGAATAGACAGGGACAGACTGATAGTGAGGCTTCTTAATATTGCCTTTCTACATAATTTTGCTCTGTGAAACATATTAATGAATAACCTATTCAGGATATAATTTAAATGAAAAATTACACTATTTGAGTATAGTACATGATGGTAAGCTTCCAAATTTATGTTATGCAACTAACATAGCCTTAAATCCGCGCACATCATAAAGGTAGTCTAAAAAATGCAGCACTTACATATACAGAAAATGCATATATAAAATATATAAATATGAAAATGTTAGTTACTCAGTGGGGTCTGACTCTTTGTGACTCCATAACTGTAGCCTGCTAGGCTCCTCTGTCCATGGAATCATTTGGGCAAGAATGCTGGAGTGGACTGCTATTTGCTTCTCCATGGCATCTTCCTGACCCAGGGATAGAACCCAGGTATCCTGCATTGCAGACAGATTCTTTACCATCTGAGGCACCAGGGAAGCACATAATATATATAAATAGTATATATTTGTGCACATATGCATATGTAAATATATTGCACATATATGTATGTTTTTATATGTATTAGTACCATAGTGAAAGTAAAACATTGGAGTTATTTGCACTTAACTCAGAAAAAGGGCAAGAAAATGCATCATCATCATGCAATTTAATATTTTTAACTTTATATTTGAAGTATTAGCCAATGTGACAAAAAGGAAAAATAAATTACATCTATAGAAATTTAGAAGGAGAAAGCAAAACTATCACTATCTGAGGATGATATATTGTATAACTGAAAACCCCGTAAGCCTTCACTGTTAACTATAAGCAATAAGAGAATCATTTTTTAAACATGCAGAACAATCTTACTTTTTAAAACAGATGCAAAAATTATAAATAAAATATTAAAAATCAAAGCTATCCGTACATCAGATAATATATCATGACCAAATATTTGTTTCTAGAGTTCAAAAACTAGGCATTGTGTCTAAATGCTTTAGTTACTAGGATACAAAAATATCCTATCACTGGCCCCATACCTGCAAAATTATAGATAAATCAGCTGATTTCCCAGAATAAAAGATCTTTCAAGGAATTTACAATCTAAGGATCAATTCCAATGATTTCCTGAGATAAATTGGTAATCTCAGAACCCAAGAAACATCACAATCTGAACCTTTCTTACTGTTACTAGCCACAAACTTATATAAGTATAAATTAATGATATTTGAGGAAAGGGAGCAGGCAGAAAAAATTACGTCGTGTCTGTTTGGCTTTTTAGAGCAATGTTATGCAAATATGTTGATCCCGCCCTGTTTCCTCTACGATTTCTTTCTATATGACAATAACTACATACAGAACACATGAGGCAATGTGGAGTCACAACAAGTGGTTTATTTATGTCAGTTATGATCACACCAGCTAGATGAATATCAGATATATATCATACTCAAAGACACTCTTCAGTACAGAAGCTCAATACATGGGCACAAAAATAGAAACAGCCTAGCATGTCAGTCCCAATCTCCTAATCCAGACACTCTTGAGTACAGAAGCTCAATACATGGGCACAAAAATAGAAACAGCCTAGCATGTCAGTCCCAATCTCCTAATCCATCCCACCCCTCCTTTCCCTTTTTGGTGACCATACATTTCTTCTCTATGTCGGTATCTCTATTTCTGCTTATAATTATAATATAATCATATTATTATAATGTAACTGTGTCTCCACCACTTGTATTTACTTCTTTGTTTACAAATAAGTCGAGGGTAGGAGTTGCATAAATTGAGTTCAGCAATATATAGCATTGTTATAGACAATATTAGATATTCCTGTGTGTCTTACAAGCATCTTTTAGCATGCTTCACATCACCTGTACATTTTTTAGTATCATTATAAATTTATCATGTTTTTAATGGACTCATCTGTTCCATTTGACTACAACTCTTGTTTGTTTTCTTTTTTCTGATGCTCAATTTTCACTCTTTGCCCAGTAAAAGTCTTCTTTAGGCAAGACTCTTTTTTTAATACTCAATATGTCACTCTGATGATGAGTGCCTTTTTCAGGTCTCTTTGCCCTTGGGTACCCACAGTAAGCATTCTCACTTTCTGTAAAGGGCAAGATGTTCCAGGCTCATCTTGCTTCATCCTGCCCCAAGATTTGGTGCCAGCTAACCTCCAAGGAGCCCTGGTTCCTTTTAGTGGAGAATAGTTTAAGGAGCCAAAATCTGGGCGCTAGGGCACAGCACAGATCTTTGTAAGATGCTACTGCTGGTAATGGGTAAGGCGATTTTAGAGACCACTTAGGCTCCTGCAGTGACACAGCAAAAAGAGACTTCCAGGGCAAGAGCACATATTTCCAATTCATCTCTAGTTTTTCCAAACCTCTTTTCACCAATTGATTGCTTATGTGTCTGTGTGCTCAGTCGCTGAGTCATGTTTGACTGTTTGCGACCCCATGGACTGTAGCCCACCAGCCGCCTCTGTCCACGGAATTTCCCTGGCAAGAATACTGGAGTGGGTTTCCATTCCCTTCTCCAGGGGATCTTCCCCACCCAGGCATCGGACCCATGTCTCCTGCATGGGCAGGCAGATTCTTTACACCTGAGCTACCTGGGAAGCCTATGATTCCTATACAATGCTATATATTGTCATACCCAATTCAATGTATTCAGATTTCATTGTTGACAGATGTTGGAATCTTCCACTTCCTTTTTCTTCTTTTTGGCTTGTCATCCATGGATCCCGGAATTTGCTCCAAAGTGTAAAGGTCCAAATCCTCTTCTCTACAAGAATAATCTATACTGTTTTACTCAAAAAGGGAAATACATGGCAATCTTTCTCCAGGTAATGTCGTCAGACTCAGCAAACAAAAATACATGCAATATTTGACACATATTTTCACTATTATATTGGACAAAAGGTTTGTTTAGGTTTTTCCATAACATGTTATGGAATAAACAATAATAATAAAGCAAAATCTGTTGTTTACCTGAAATTCAAACTTAACTGAACATCCTGTATTTTATCTGTAAATCCTACCTCCAACTGAAGAGTAGGGAATCTAAACACATAGATCATACAATATCACAGAGTCCCCTAACACTCTTTAATACCTATGAATTGAAAGAAAATTAGGAAGACAACTGGCTTTCAGGGATCTTTTAAAAATGTTCATTTTCATTTTCATGGGCCAAAATGCAGACCTGTATCACTTTATTTAAGTCCTTAATTTTGAAAATAGGTCTTTTCCACATCCTGTTTTATTAATGTTTTTCTATTCTAATTATTGTCCCCAAGTAAAATTTTGAGTCATAAATATTAATGTTTCAGTTGCTCTTAGATATATACAATTATTCCATTACCAGAGTGTTTCACTATCTTAAAATCCCTCACAACCACCTAAAATGTCAGAGAACACAATGACATTCACATAAAGAATCAATGGGAAAAAAAGTTTTTACTATTACAACTTTGAAACTCTCCAAGCAGTAAGTTCACGTTGATTCATTTCTATAGGTTCTTATCCATCTTATCCATGTTCATAACACTGATGTCTTAAAATGCACAAATTGAATTACAGTATATTTTGATGTCTTAACATGCACAAACTGAATTACAGTATATTCTAGTTATTATGACACATTCACCTTACATTAAGTACACCTTAAAAATAATCTAAACAACAGTTGGAACATTTTTATGCATTGCAAAATGTTCCTTATTAAACACAGAAGAGTCAGAAAATTATTGCCATAGAAAAATTGTGCAAATGTCCTAATCTTTGCATGGATTAAAATATTCCATGCATGTTCTCCCAATTTTGCCATCTGTGGTAATTGCACAGCCACCACAGTTGAAATGTAATCACAAAACTTGGTTACAATATTTACCAAGTGAAATTCCCCCTTCCCAATTTTTTCCATTTTAATTAGGAGCATCAGATTAGAATCTCAGAGTACAGGGGGAAATATATATATATATATAGTGTGTGTGTGTGTGTATAAAAACATTTATATAGACACACACATACACTTAAAAATATATATGAATATATGTGTATGTACTTATATATACATGTATAGATAAACAAACATAGACATTTTATGGCACAAAGACCAAAAGATCAAGTTGCAGAAATTTCTCATCTTTAAACATTATAAAAAGCAATGAAAATAAATGAACTGAGCATAAAATCAAGAACTTAGAATACAAACAAAAATAACAAATCCTCAAGAAAGAAGAATGAAAAAAGTTGACAGATAAGTAATAAAACTGATAAATAAAAGCAACTTAAATACCCATCAGAAGAAGAAGGAAGATGTGGCATATATATGCAATGGAATATTGCTCAGTCACAAAAATGAAATTTTGCCATTGTAGCAATGGACTTGGAGGGTATTATGCTAAGTGAAACAAGTGAAAGGCAAACACTGTATAATACCAGTCATATGCAGAATCTAAAAAATTCTATATAAATAAAAAATAAAAAATTCTAAAACAAAAAAGAAGCAGGCTTACAGAGAGCAAACTAGTGGTTACCAGTGGGGAGAGGGAAGGGGGGAGGGGCAACAGGGGTAGGGGGGGAAAAAAGGATATTATGGGATTATATGAAATTATGTGGGTGAAGCTTTTGGTAATTGCAAAACACTATAGCATTTTAAGAATGTTTCGTTCAATTTAAAAAAAGAATTTTCATGAAGGTAATGACTATAGTTATATCTCCGTGAAAAGTTCACAAGGAAATTTTGCTTTTTCTTAGTGCCTTTCACAATAAGAAGTGAGGACATCAGGAAATGAATTTGTTAGAATTCAGTGAGGGCCCTAATTGGGACAGAGCCTCTACCTTCCTTTGTGTGCCGGGAGTTTTTACATTTAAAGCATATATTTCGCCATGAGAAATTCATCAAATGACACTGGGCACAGTCCCAGTCTCCTATTCTGCGCCTGATGCTGAATCTCGCCGAGTAAGATAAGCCAGGGTATTGCTTAAACCTTTCTGGCAGGAATTTCCTAGTAGGGTGATGTTTCCCCCTATAATTTCTTTTGGAGTCTTTCACAGAAGAACATGCTGCAGCTTCAGCTGCTGCTCCTGGGGGAGAAAGTGTAGCTAGGGATGAACAAGAGGACTGAGAGAGATCGACGGCTGGCAACTTGCCAGCCTTGGCCCTGGAACCTGAGACCTGAGAGCGAGAAAGAATAGTTACCTCCTTGTCGTTCCAGGGCTGAGAAACCTCTTTGTCCTTCGCCTCTCCCGCTCTGGCAGAGGTACCAGGAGCAGCAGTGATCCTCCGGCCTGACCCTTTCCTCGACTCCCCGCTCTTAGACTGACTGGATGGGCTGTGAGGGCGGCTCAGTGTCCCTGATGTCCCTTTTTGGTTCTCTCCCTCAGTTCTAGCCTGCTTGCGAGTGCCTACTCTATGCTCTCTCCTGAGTAAATTTCGCTCTTCCGGTACTCCACGAAGCACTTCAAGGCTTTGTTGCCGACGGGACCTGTCTTTCTCCTTTTCCTTCTCTTGCTTCTCCCTAAGTCTACGCACTGTTCCCAACAAGGCATCCGTGAGGAGCTTCTGCTCCTCTAGCTGATCCTGGAGCTCTTTAATCTTTTCTGCATCCTCCCGCTTCTGCCTCTCAGCAAACCGCACGGCGAGGGCCAGGATAGTCCAGGCACAAGCCTCCTTAATGCCTCCCGATATCTCTGGGTTATTCAAAATGTCCCTCAGCGTCATCTCCATATCCCCCCAGGACTTGGACTTGTGCATCACATAGAAACAGGGACTGACTCCATTTTTAATTATCTGCTCATTTAGAAAATCTACAACTTCCTTCTGGTGGAAGCCACAGGCGGGGTCGTTAAGATTTACAGCCATTCTAAGCAAGGCTCCCTCTGACACGTCTTACCTCAGAAAGCAGTGCGTCACAGGATGTGGCCTTTGACCTGACTTTGATCTTTCCACCTAAGAGTCACCCTATCTTCACAGGAAGTTGAATGCCTCCTGGTGGTGTGAGGGTCTAGCCAAGGGCGGAGTCAGTTACTTCAGAGCTCTGCATAAAGCCTAAACTGAGCGAGTAGGTGGAGTTCCCTTGTAGAAGTGGATACAAAGATTACAAAACATTTCAGGCTTCTTATTCTAGCAGTGAATATAGACACATACTTAACATTTACTGAACTGAACAGGGCAATATGTATTTGGTAAGTACGTTGTGTTCCATCATGCTGCAACCAGTTTTCAAAATCTTTGAGAGCATAGATAACCTTTTACCATTAGTACCTATTATACACAAAGGCTTTTTTTTTTTTTGGACTATAATTGCGTTACAATGTTGTGTTTGCTTCTGCTGTACAATGAGGTGAATCAGCTGTTTGCATACATATATCCTCTCCCTCTTGGACCTCCCTCCCAACTCCCCTGCCCCACCCCTCTAGGTTATCATAGAGTTCTGAGCTGAGCTTCCTGTGCTTTATAGCAGGCTCCCACTGCTGCTGCTAAGTCGCTTCAGTCGTGTCCGACTCTGTGCGACCCCATAGATGGCAGCCCACCAGGCTCCCCCGTCCCCCGGGATTCTCCAGGCAAGAACACTGGAGTGGGTTGGTGTTTCCTTCTCCCACTGCTTTACACATGGTCATGTATGTATATCAATCCTACTCTCCCAATTCACCTCACCCTCTCCTTCCCCTCTTGTGTTCTCATGTCTGTGTCTCTATTCCTGCCCTGGAAGTAGGCTCGTCTGTTCCAGTTTTCTAGATTCCACATATATGTGTTAGTATAAGATATTTATTTTTCTCCTTCTGACTTCTTTAACTCTGTATGACAGACTCTATTGTATATAATAGCTTATGTAAACTTGCTCACTGTACAAATTCTTGTTTTACCAAGATTTCATTCATGTAATATAGAATTTGAACTTTATAATATATAATAATAATAAATTTAACTGTCCTCTTAGAACCAGGCATTGTGTCATTTTGAACACTCAAGTTCAGATAAGCCTGTGGCAAATAAAATTCAAAATGCAGAAAACAGCTCTTCAACATTATTGTTAAGAATGACTATTTCTTCCATTGACAGATCTGCTTCATATGTGAGATACATAGATTATTTATCCTCTGGTTACCTAAGTACCATGAGGAACTGCCTGGGCAATGAGATACTCTAAATACAGTGAAGAACTGAACCAGATTTCAAAACAAAGATGATTCCTACCAGCATAATTTTTCCTGGGGAAAAAAAAAAAAGCAAAAGCAATAACTTGTTTATATAGGAATCCAACTTTTGACTATAAAATTTTTTATTTTATTTTATTTTTAGTTGTGCTGAGTCTTTGTTGCTATGCGCAGGCTTTCTCTAGTTGTAGCAAGCAGGGGCTACTCTCTAGTTGCAGTGCTCAGGCTTCTCCTTGCAGTGGCTTCTCTTGTTGTGGAGCACAGGCTCTAGGCAAACAGGCTTCAGTAATTGTGGCACGCAAGCTCAGTAGTTGCAGCTCGAGGACTCTAGAGTGTAGTAGGCTCAGTAGTTGTGGAGCATGGGTTCAGCTGCTCCAGGGCATGTGGAATCTTCCCAAACCAGGGATCGAACCTGTGTACCCTGCAGATCCCTATCAGATTTTATAGTTAGGACTAGGGAAGTCCAAACTATAAAAATTGTAACCCCTCGTCATGGGTGGCATGATGCAGAAGTTGGTGCTGAGCTGGAGTTGGGAATGTAAGATGTTTACTACAGGTCAGCATCTTTGAAGGGAAAGGGGCAGGACTGAGCAGGGCAGGAGTCAAACTTCATGGCTTGCAGCTCAATACAGTCTCATCAAACCCTTGGCCAACTCGTCTCAGCTTCTTGGAACCGAGCATTGGCCATCAGAATTGTCACCCAACAAGGTAACATGGTCAGGCTTTCCCACCTTCACCTTGCAGTCACTGACCTTGAAAATGGTTTACCTTGGATGAGGTGCCTCTTGGAAGTGGGTTTGCTGACTGCTGATCCCACTCCCCACAGCTATGCAGCAAATCATGCCCTAAAGAAGGGACTTGCAGGGCATTTTTGTGCTTATCAGAAACTGCATTTCTTTGAAACATTATTTCCATGTATATTTAGGAAACAGCTCCTCCAGGATTCTGGCTGGCCTCTTTTCCTGAGTAGATGTTTAGAAGGGGGAGGTTAGTGGGATGATATATAGCTCCTGCCATAATCAATTCTTTTTTTTTTCCATTTATTTTTATTAGATGGAGGCTAATTACTTTACAATATTGTAGTGGTTTTTGCCATACATTGACATGAATCAGCCATGGATTTACATGTATTCCCCATCACAATCCCCCCTCCTGTCTCCCTCCCCACCCCATCCCTCTGGGTCTTCCCAATGCACCAGCCCTGAGCACTTGTCTCATGCATCCAGCCTGGGCTGGTGATCTGTTTCAACCTTGATAGTATACATGTTTTGATGCTGTTCTCTCAAAACATCCCACCCTCCCTTCTCCCACAGAGTGCAAAAGTTTATTATGTACATCTGTGTCTCTTTTTCTGTTTTGCATATAGGGTTATTGTTACCATCTTTCTAAATTCCAATTATATGCCTTAGTATACTGTATTGGTGTTTATCTTTCTGGCTTACTTCACTGTGTATAATGGGCTCCAGTTTCATCCATCTCATTAGAACTGATTCAAATAAATTCTTTTTAATGGCTGAGTAATATTCCATGGTGTATATGTACCATAGCTTCCTTACCCACTCAACTGCTGATGGGCATCTAGGTTGCTTCCATGTCATGGCTATTATAAACAGTGCTGCAATGAACATTGGGGTGCACGTGTCTCTTTCAGATTTGGTTTCCTCGGTGTGTATGCCCAGAAGTGGGATTGCTGGGTCATATGGCAGTTCTATTTCCAGTTTTTTAAGAAATCTCCACACTGTTCTCCTTAGTGGCTGTACTAGTTTGCATTCCCACCAACAATGTAAGAGGGTTCCCTTTTCTCCACACCCTCTCCAGCATTTATTGCTTGTAGACTTTTGGATAGCAGCCATCCTGACTGGCATGTAATGGTACCTCATTGTGGTTTTGATTTCCATTTCTCTGATAATGAGTGATGTTGAGCATCTTTTCATGTGTTTGTTAGCCATCTGTATGTCTTCTTTGGAGAAATGTCTGTTTAGTTCTTTGGCCCATTTTTTGATTGGGTCATTTATTTTTCTGGAATTGAGCTGCAGGAGTTGCTTGTATATTTTTGAGATTAATCCTTTGTTTGTTGCTTCATTTGCTATTATTTTCTCCCATTCTGAAGGCTGTCTTTTCACCTTGCTTATAGTTTCCTTTGTTGTGCAAAAGCTTTTAAGTTTCATTAGGTCCCATTTGTTTATCTTTGCTTTTATTTCCAATATTCTGGGAGGTGGGTCATAGAGGATCCTGCTGTGATTTATTTCGGAGAGTGGTTTCTTGAACCTGTGCGACTATTTCCTTCCCCATTTTAGGGAAGTTTTCAGCTATTATCTCCTCGAGAATTTTCTCATGGCATTTCTTTTTGTCTTCTTCTTCTGGGACTCCTATTATTCAAATGTTGGGGCGTTTCATATTGTCCCAGAGGTCCCTGAGGTTGTCCTCATTTCTTTTGATTCTTTTTTCTTTTTTCCTCTCTGCTTCATTTATTTCCACCATTTTATCTTCTACCTCACTTATCCTATCTTCTGTATCCATTATTCTACTGTTGGATCCCTCCAGAGTGTTTTGGTCTCATTTATTGCATTATTCATTTTTAATTGACTCTTTTTTATTTCTTCTAGGTCCTTATTAAACATTTCTTGCATCTTCTCAATTCTTGTCTCCAGGCTATTTATCTGTAACTCCATTTTGTTTTCAAGATTTTGGATCATTTTTATTATCATTATTCTAAATTCTTTTTCAGGTAGATTCCCTATCTCCTCCTCTTTTGTTTGACTTGGTGGGCATTTTTCATGTTCCTTTACCTGCTGGGTATTTCTCTGCCTTTTCATCTTGTTAAGATTGCTGTGTCTGGAGTGACCTTTCTGTATTCTGGTAGACTGTGGTTCCTTTTTATTGTGGAGGTTTCTCCCAGTGGGTGGGGTTGGACAATTGGCTTGTCAAGGTTTCCTGGTTAGGGAAGCTTGCATCAGTGTTTTGGTGAGTGAAACTGGATTTCTTCTCTCTGGAGTGCAATGGAGTGTCCAGTAGTGAGTTTTGAGATGGGTCTATGTGTTAGGTATGACTTTGGGCAGCCTGTATATTGATGCTCAGGGCTATATGTTCCTGCGTTGCTGGAGAATTTGCGTGGTATGCCATGCTCTGGAACTTATTGGCTCTTGGGTGGTGGTTGGTTTCAGTGTAGGTATGGAGGCTTTTGGATGATCTCTTATTACTTAATGTTCCCTGTAGTCAGGACTTCTCTGGTGTTCTCAGGTTTTGGGCTTAAGCCTCCTGCCTCTGGATTTCAGTCTTATTCTTCCAGTAGCCTCAAGACTTCTCCAACTATACAGCACTGATAATAAAACTTCTAGGTTAATGGTGAAAAGATTCTCCACTGTGAGGGACACCCAGAGAGGTTCACAGAGTTATATGAAGAAGAGGAGAGGGAGGAGTGACATAGAGATGAGCTGGAGGAGAAAAAGGGGGACTCAAGAGGAGAGAGACAGATCTACACAGTTCTCTGTTCCCTAAGTGTTCTCCAAAGCCCAGACACCCACAGAGATTCACAGAATTGTATTGGGAAGAGAAGGGGGAGGGAGGAAATAGAGGTGTTCTGAGGGAGAAAACGGAGAGTCAAAAGTCGGAGAGAGTAATCAACATGCTCCTGAGTAAAAATGGATACTGAATATTGGATTCTTAAATGTCCAAAATTGATATCAAATACTGAAAAACAAAGAT